GCCCCTGGAGCAGTTGGGGGTTCGGTGTCTTGCTCAAGGGTCTCACCTCAGTTGTAGTATTGAAGGCGGAAGAGAGCTCTGGTTAATCACTCCCCCCACCTACAATCCCTGCCGGTACGAGACTCGAACCCACAACCTTTGGGTTACGAGTCCGACTCTCTAACCATTAGGCCACGACTTCCCCACTTTTGACTTTTTTAAAAGTTTGACAGACTTTTAAGCTGCTTATGTAGCCGAATCTGCGCTGGTATGAATGGGCCGCCTCCAGTTTCCCCTTTGTTTTGCTTAGGGCTGGGAATCGATTCCAAAAACAATCGATTTCTGAAGAATCGACTCCTCATTCAGAGCCTTTTTCAGTTCAACAAAGCTTATCTATGGGTGCCTCTCAAACGGAAGGCGATAGATAGTTTTAATGAACCAGTTCAAAAAAACAATTCAGAGGTTATTTTACGGTGGAACTGGCTTGTCCACAATTTTGAGCGCTGCACGACATAATAGATCATGACATGATCTAGAGTCTTGATCTTATTTCCATCTAAAATACTATTTTTTTTAAACATTTCTATCAGCCAATGATAATTATAAAAGAAAACATCCCGAGCATAGATAAACCACGAGCTCTATCAGTTATTGTTAATGTTCTGGTTATTTTGTTTCAGTGTACAGTTTGTTAATTTTGTGCAAAGCATAGGCCTACAGTCAAAGTAAACTTCATCATTCAGCTGAACTGTGCACATTTATTTTAGACACTTCATGTCTTGTTCAATTCATGCGATAAACGCATGTCCCGGTTATAGCTGTGGGCTATGACTAATTTCACGGGGCAAAGCAGACAAAATTACAATTTATGTATCGTCATTTTAAATTTTTTTATTAAAACAATATTATATATATTATGATAAGGATACTTTCTACGACTTTTATCCTGCAGTCATGGTGAGATTATAGGTTCCTTCAATCTAAAAAAACTAGAATCGAAAACAACAGTGAGGAATCGATTCTTGGAATCGATTTCAGAACCAGGAATCGGAATCGGACTCTTTTTGCACCCTTTTTGCTGCCTCCAGCTAGCGCTGTGACGTCGGCTGACCCTAGTTACCTGTGGTTGGCCTGGCCGTGCGTCACTCAGAAAACAACAGGCCAATCAGAAGAGAGGCTCATGAATATTAATTAGATATCGCCAAAATCGACCTGTTCTCAGCAGAGCTCCTGAGAGAGAAACCTAAAATAAAAATCCAGTAAGGTGTAAAATATGTGACCTTTAAAGCTACAAAAGTTATTGATTTCCTCTTTTTTTTCTTTTGTTCTTTGATAAACAGACATCACAGCAGCTGGTTATGATGTTATTTGGCTGCTATTACTTTAAGAGCTGCCGCTGCTGAATGTGACGCAGATCTGACACGCGTGTTTGTAGTTTAATCCACGCTTTAATATGAAAGAAAACAGGCTACAGTGTGCACCGCCGTATTTGTGCGTGCGACTGTAGAGCACGTGTTACAAGCACAGTATAACAGCTGACAGGACAGGAAAATGTGTTTTTACTGACATATAGCCTGACAACCTCTCATCTGACCACAGTTCACTGATGTTCTGCTGAAGCTCCTCGTCACTGTTTCCACGCTCGTTTGACTCTCACCTGGCGCTGAGGTGAAGTTGAGTGTGCATCTGAAAAGTCTCCTGTTTGATGCGGTCGCAAAGATGTTCTGCATCTAAATAAATGCAATTCTTGTCAAGAAAAAAAAAAAAGAGACCGAAGCTTGCAGTTGTGAGTGGGGTGGCCAACCCAAGCTCCGGCCCTGCGTTAAATATTTTTAATGCCATTAAACTTGAAAAATTAATCGCACGCATTAACACACTAATTTTGACAGCACTAGCTTTACATTTTGTCAGATAACAATGCGATCGTTGATGAGCGTTGATGCATGTCATTGGCTGCAGATGCACTACTCACTGTAAAACACTAAAAAATAGCATTGTTAGTGGGTATTTTATAATCTAGATGGAAAAAAAAAAATCATTTTGCTAACATGTCATTTAAAATGGATTACATTTTTTGTTACTTTCTGAAAAATTTCAGTAAACTAGTTCATTCAGTAGCCTAATAAACACCTAATCTTATACTTACAATTAAATAGACTCTCCTGTCATCTGGATTATAAAGTACCTGATAACTGCTATTTTTAGAGTTATAAAGTGAAAAAGTATAATAAAGTGTACTTCTTTTCCACAAGAGATAATAATAATAATAATACATTACTAAAATCTTTCACAACTTCTGTTTCATGCCTACTTTAAAGTTAACAGCCAGTTTGCCAGTAAAGCCCATTTTACTTCCTCGCTAAAGCCAGTATTTACTCGCATGTTTTAACTGTGGACCTGGTCTGAAGTATCTTGAACATACATCGCGTAAAGAAGGAAATGGGGTCACCTGGAAGATGCTGTATAACGGGAATATCATGTTTGCGAAGTTCATCTGCGTTTCCCACTCCAGACAGCAGGAGGAGCTGTGGAGAGTTTATGGCTCCACCGCTGAGAATGACCTCCTTATCAGCAAACACCTGAAGTCAACGTGAGAGACATTCACGTGTTAGCAAATCACTCATCTGTTTTTATATAACATCAGCGGAAATGATTGAAAGATTGAGTCCCAAATTTGCAACTGTGACATATTATGTAGGTTAAACACACAGATTACACAACCTGCCTCCTGAACATTTCTCACAGTCACAACATGATTCTGACAAAGGCTTTAGATGTTCAGAGGAGCTCATCTCATTTAGCATCCTGTCTACTGAGGTTCCTTCATCTGGTTGGTTTTCTGTGCTATCGCACAATAGCTTTGTGAATGTTTGAAATAATAAAAATGGCCAAAGCATTTGCTCGGTTATGTCTAATCAGACATGGCACACTCAGTTGTCATTTGCACTCAACTGTATTATGTTAAATGAAATTACATTTGTAAAGCGTTAAGTTAACTTAAATCATTTGTCTTAGGGCTACATTAATCATTTATGTTGCATTGACTGAAACTGGGCAGTGGATTTCTAGTTCCCAGCATGCTTTGCATAGGGATAGATCAGGAGAGTAAATGTGGAAATTAAGTGCTGTTTAATTAGTAAAGGGAAAGACCTATTAAAGTTTGTTGTTCAGTTATATTTGACATTTGAAAGAGTTTATTATATCGTTTATTTTATTTATTTATTTTATTGTATTTTTTTAGGTTACCATTATGCTGAAGTGTAGACCTTGTGGTTGGTTAGCTACATGAGCTAAAACTATGTTGTTCTCAATGAGCTGTAATTGTTGTTATGAGCCTAAGGCCCCGTCCACACGGAGATGCGTTTAGCTGTATACGCATACATTTTGTATCGTATAGGTGTTTCGTCCACACGGATCCGGCATTTTGGGAGAGTGAAACCGATATTTTTTGAAACCGGGTCCCAGAGTGGATAAATCTGAAAACGCCGCCCTTGTGTTTTCGTGTGGACAGCGAATCTGGATATTTTCTGAAACGATGACGTCATCAGCCCACATCTCGCCCCTAGTCAGACACCGCTACGTCACGTAACAGCAACAAAAACATGAACAAACACTGAACGATTGTCTTTTTATTAACTAACATTAACACAGATTAATAAATGTATTGTTCCATGTTCGTTTGTATACCGCGTGCAAGGTTTATGCGCATAGTCCAAGTCTTCTTCTCCATTTTTAGTGTATCTCTGTGGCAGAATTACAGCGCCAACATACTGGTCTGGCATGTATACTACATCGTTTTGTGTCGGTTTCGTGTGGATGCAGATATTTCTTGAGACGAGGGGAAAAAAAGATCAGATAGGGAAAGCTCGGGCTACGTGTGGACGTAGCCCAAGTCATTTGTTCATTGTTTTCATTCTGCCCTCTTGTGTTCTCTCTGTGTATGTGTATGTTTGTTTCAGATGGGCGGTTCCTTCAGATAATTTGCTGGAGGCTGCAATTGGTTCCCTTCCTCACCTGACCCAGATATAAGGACTGCCCCAAACACTCAATCGGGGCCATGATTGTGCCATCGTGTGTGACTCTGTAGTTTGCCTTTGTGCCTTGCCGTCATCGTTCGTTTAAGTCTTTGAGTGTCTTACCAGAGAGATAAAATGCTTAAGATTGTAGATTAAGATTAAGAGTGTTATTGTAATTCTGTGATAGTATTTTTGTTTCCATTCTGTGATATTCCTTGTTAACTTGACCCACGCCTGATTGACTACGATTTTGGATTCCGATTGTGAATTGTTGGCTGTTAACTTGTATATATCTTTTGTAAATATTTAGTAAATAAGTTTTGGCAAGTTGAGGGATGTAAGGGGTTAGACGCCATTTTATTTTGAAACCTCTTTTCACATTGCTTTTGGTTTAGGGAGTCAGGTAAGTTGAAACTGTATTTTTGTTTTCTTTAATTTTGATTTAGGAAGTGTAGAGTGTTAAAAAAGGATAATTTTTGTTTGTTATTTTGGCCTTGTCTGCCCCTGACCCTAAACCCTTATTTGTAAATAAATGATTGTTATTCAACATCTCTCTGGTATTGAGACTCTCTTCCTTTTCCTGTTACGGCTGACCCCTAGCGGTCGTAACAATATATACAGATGCTCCTGATATTAACATGCTCGCAAATACCCTGCTCCAGAGTAGGAGCTAATTTGGTTCTCGAAAAAGGCAGTCCGGTACTAAAATCGCACCCAGTTCCGGCGGTGCGAAAACGCCAAAAAGTGGGTAGTTCCACAATTAGTTCTGGTACTATGAAAAGGTTCCCGTGGTATATATCTTTTGTAAATATTTTGTAAATAAGTTTTGGCAAGTTGTGGGATGTAGGGGGTTAGACGCCATTTTATTTTGAAACCTCGTTTCACATTGTTTTTGGTTTAGGGAGTCAGGTAAGGTAAAGTATTTTTGTTTTCCTTAATTTTGATTTAAATTGAGTGTAGAGTGTTAAAAAAAGATCATTTTTGTTTGTTATTTTGGCCTTGTCTGCCACCGTTACTTGTAAATAAATTCTTGTAATTCAACATCTCTCTGGTATTGAGACTCTCTTCCTTTTCGTGTTACGGCTGACCCCTAGCGGTCGTAACAGTGTTCTAATGCGAGTGATTTGAACATTTTTACTTGATCATTACTTGAATGCTACAAAAGTTATACTTCGCAACTAAACAAGTGTTATGTTGGCTATTAGTTCTTATAAGAATATATAAAATAAATTAGTATGAGGGCCAGCACATGATTTACACACTCCATATGTGACCCTGGACCACAAAACCAGTCATAAGGGCCAATTTTTTGAAATTGAGATTTATACATCATCTGAAAGCTGAATAAATAAGCTTTCCATTGATGTATGGGTAAGGACAGGATAGGACAATATTTGGCCCAAGATGCAACTATTTGAAAATCTGGAATCTGAGGGTGCAAAACAATATTGAGAAAATAGCCTTTAAAGTCGTCCAAATTAAGTTCTTAGCAATGCATATTACTAATGAAAGTTTTTATATATTTACGGTAGGAAGTTTACAAAATATCTTCATGGAACATGATCTTTACTTAATATCCTAATGATTTTTGGCATAAAAGAAAAATTGATAATTTTGACCCATACAATGTATTGTTGGCTATTGCTACAAATATACCTGTGCTTCTTATGACTGCTTTTGTGCTCCAGGGTCACATGTGGTCATCGTTTCTACCCTTCGCAATCAAACGATCATAGAACATTTATGTGTGCATGACAGCTACTGACAACCTTAGCACAAGCTCCCCTCTTCACCACAAAGGTAACCAAAAAACAAACAAACAAAATGATCAAAATAACTAAACATTACACACTTAAACTCTAACAGGTCTTTCCATTTTTTTTTATAAAAATGCAGAAAACTCCCGGATCCGCAACTCTGCACAAGGGCACCAGTCTGAACAGCAACGGTTATGTTCATGGAACATTCACAGAATATGTAAAATGAAATTGGTGTGATCTCATTAAATTAGCATGAATTCTACTCATCAGTACAATTAACCTAATTTAAGTTCAAATAAATCAGTTCAACTGTGTGGAAATAGGTGTAAATTTTATTAAGTCAATCACTCACATATGCATAAAATTTTTTTGCAACTAAATACCATTAGATCTCACTCACAAGTGATTGAGTTAGAGGCAATAAAAAAATGGCTGTTAATTTACTCACTTTCAGGCCATCCAATATGTAGGTGACTTTTTTTTTCCTCAGCAGAACAATAAAGAAGATTTTTAGCTGGAACTGTAGTCCCTTGGTGATTCAAAAATTTCGGGTCAATGGCTACCGGCTCTTTAAAAACTAAACAAAAGCATATGCAGGCCAGACGAAATGAATACCATGGCTCCTGATGATATATTGAGGTCTTATGAAGCGAAATGATTGGTCTGTGCAAGAAACTGAACATTATTTACAGCATTTACCCAAAATACATAGCCTCAAACAAATGGGAAAATCTGATTCGTTTCTGCGAACTGGTTCTTTCGGACAGATCATTTCAATGAACTTTTTTCAATATTCGATTCAGCAATGTGTTTATGTAATCATGCAATGACATCACGTATTAGGGCTGCACGATAAATCGCATGCGATATTTAACGCGCATCTTGTCAGAAAGCCAGTTCTGTAATCAGCGGTAAATCTCCATCACGTGCATGCTATCACATTGAGCAGCATTAACTACACAGAGCCGTTGTTCACTGACGAGCTGCGCAA